AACTTGCAAGGAAAATGACTTTCTGACAAAATTAGAAACGTATAATATCTGAAAATGTAGCTAGCTAGACTCTTCTCCCTCTCTGTTATGGACACCATGGTTGCCCTTAGTTTGAAGATGTAATCCAATAACAGGTATTTTATATAACAGCCTTCTGTGTTCTCTTTTCGACTCCCTCCACATTTGCAATCAAACACCAGAATGTTCTCCATCTCCTTAGCTATCATAGTCTGCTTCCAATTAGCATTCCACTAAATTCCAAACTCAGTCAACTCTTTCCACTGTTGATCGTAATTTCTTCCCCATCACTGTCATCAGAAGACTCTACAATGTCTGGTTCAATGACAGATTCAGAGAGAGTCAGCATGGCACGATCGTCCTCCAGAAAGTAGTCCAACGCAAGTTTTTCCCACTGATCTTTGTCGATAGCGCCTGCTAAATTCAGGGAAGCAATGTTGTTGAGAGCAGTAGCAACACTTTTGCAGTTCTCCATTATATCTTTCAAAAAAAGCCACGGTAGCAAGGATTATCTACACATACTGAACAGCTCATGTTATAGACAGAAGTGTGCTACATAGCAGACCAATCCGAACTCATCTCTCTGCATTTCCAGCACATTCATCATCTCAGCCAATCATGGCTAGCGGGAAGGTTCCTGTCTTTTTCCATGGCTAAACCAACTAGGCTCATAATGTGATAATTGTATTAGTATTTACAGATGGCATACAAGTTTGTTATTAAAGCACATGAAAGTTCACATGTTCCAGAAGGCATTTCTGCCATAAAACACGTTTTGATTTAAAAATAAATAAATGTGCCTCTCCTGTGAAATAGTGACGTGCGACATATGGCTTTCTTCCTGAAACGGGTCACAATTATGAATGAGAACTCTCTTAGTAGATAGGAGGTCTGCAGTTTACCATGAGGTAATCTATGTCAGCTGAGCAAAATCATGATTTTCCTTCACACTGGAAGCAGTGCACCAGTTGTTGTTTATGAAGAAGGACACCCCTACCCCTTTGGATTTGCCAGAGGCCACCGTCGTTCGATCGTGTCGCTGCATGGTGAAACCACTTACAGTTGAAGTCGGAAGTTGACATACACCTTAGCCAAATACATTTAAACTCAGTTTTTCACAATTCCTGACATTTAATCCTAGTACAAATTCCCATTCTTAGGTCAGTTAGGATCACCACTTTATTTTAAGAATGTGATATGTCAGAATAATAGTAGAGAGAATGATTTATGTCAGCATTTATTTCTTTCATCACATTCCCAGTGGGTCATAACCCACATACACTCAATTAGTATTTGGTTGCATTGCCTTTAAATTGTTTAACTTGGGTCAAACGTTTCGGGTAGCCTTCCACAGGCTTCCCACAATAAGTTGGTTGAATTTTGGCCCATTCCTCCTGACAGAGCTGGTGTAACTGAGTCAGGTTTGTAGGCCTCCTTGCTCGCACACGCTTTTTCAGTTCTGGCCACAAATTTTCTATAGGATTGATGTCAGGGCTTTGTGATGGCCACTCCAATACCTTGACTTTGTTGTCCTTAAGCCATTTTGCCACAATTTTGTAAGTATGCTTGGGGTCATTGTCCATTTGGAAGACCCATTTGAGACCAAGCTTTAACTTCCTGACTGATGTCTTGAGATGTTGCTTCAATATATCCACATATTTTTCCTTCCTCATGATGCCATCTATTTTGTGAAGTGCAACAGTCCCTCCTGCAGCAAAGCACTCCCACAGCATGATGCTGCCACCCCTGTTCGTCACGGTTGGGATGGTGTTCTTTGGCTTGCAAATATCCCCTTTCTCCTCCAAACATAACGATGGTCATTATGGCCAAACAGTTATATTTTTGTTTCATCAGACCAGAGGACATTTCTCCAAAAAGTACGATCTTTGTCCCCATGTGCAGTTGCAAGCGGTTTTGGAACATTGGCTTCTTCCTTGCTGAGCGGCCTTTCAGGTTATGTCGATATAGGACTCGTTTTACTGTGGATATAGATAATTTTGTACCTGTTTCCTCCAGCATCTTCACAAGGTCCTTTGCTGTTGTTCTGGGATTTATTTGTACTTTTCGCACCAAAGTACGTTCATCTCGAGGAGACAGAACGCGTCTCCTTCCTGAGCGGTATGACGGCTGCGTGGTCCCATGGTGTTTATACTTCCGTACTATTGTTTGTACAGATGAACGTGGTACCTTCAGGCGTTTGGAAATTGCTCCCAAGGATGAACCAGACATGTGGAGGTCTACTGGTCATTTTAAGCTGATTCAGTCCCGCTTTTCCACAGGGTGATCGAACGGGTTACCAGGTTTAGATGGTGGGGATGGAACGAGGGGCCCCGGGGTGGACTAAGGATCCATGGTCGGGTTAAGGAGAGACCCCCTAGGGGGGCCACACATCCCCTACCCGGGTTCGGCCACAGGGGGGCACTGGTCATTTTGTACCGGTTCATGAGGGTTGCCTAATCACACATTTGACATTTTGGAAGGATGTGACCTTTTTAACCCTTCGAAACAGCCCATATGACCCCAATTTTAAGCTGAAAGTAAACATATATCCTCATTGGGACACACTTTTACAGAATCCTGAGCTTCAAGTCTTTACATAAAGAACTGACTGATTTACAGAGGTAAACCTAATAGTGGCCTGATGGGTTGTCATAGAAGACAGTTTGATGTAGCAATCATAACCCACATAAGCATCAGGTTGAAGTTAGTGCAACAGGCAATGTATTTCTATGGAAAGTGAGGTCACGGTCAACTGTTTGAATAAATACACCCTGTTTTCACTGTTAAGGGTTAATTCCAAATGGTCAAGGGTAGGCTTGTGCAAATCGGGAGGACCTTAGGAATGTTTCTGTGGTTGAATTGTGTTTCTAGTGTCAACGGTTCTGCCGCTCTCACCCCGAAGCACACATACACACTCCACCTGATACGCACACACAGATACACACACCTCACCACACATTCCCCAGACCAACAAACTCTCAAACAAAACAATATAAAAACAGAACTTTTGGGGTCAGCCTGGACCCTATGTGGAAACGGAACTGGATTTGACTTTACAGTGGGAGGTTGGAGTGGGGGGTGGAAGACAGCAATCACAATGTCTCTTACTGTTTTTCATTGATAGGTGGGGAGGGGAACCCGTGAACCGTGGTTTGGGAATAAAGTGATGCACTGGTTTAACATGTAAAGATGTAAAGATGAATAGAATATGTGACTGTCTGGTGAGGGAGCATGGATCCCCTCACTGGACCGACTAGAGCTCTGAAGAAGGGAATAGCTAAAGATTATGGTGGGTTAACAGGTAGCTTAGTGGTTAAGAGCGTAGTGCCATTAACCGAAAGGTCGCTGGTTCCTAGCCGACTAGGTGAAAAATCTGCCGATGTGCCCTTGAGCAAGGCACTTAACCCTAATTGCTCCTGTAAGTCGCTCTGGATAAGAGCGTCTGCTAAATGACTAAAAATGTAAATGTAAAGATCCTCCCAGCCTTTCAACTTTATTCAAATGAGAGTAACACTTCGAAACAGCCCGTATGACTTCTGTTTGTCACAGGAAGCTGAAAGTAAACATTTGTCCTCATTGGGATACGCTTTTACAGAATCCTGAGCTTCAAGTATTTACATAAAGAACTGACTGATTTACAGAGGGTTGAATGCAGTGTTTTTCACTAATTGATATCAAAACCACGTTTAGGATCAATCTTACCACTTCCGGTTGCTCCAGGATGCTTAAAATCAACAAAGGTAATCCTTACGGTACGGGAGCTAGGGCGGGAGACTCGACTCCCATTCATTCCCTATGGAAACTGAATGTTCTCCACAGAATATCTGAGGATTGTACCCAAAGGTGCTAGAGCTATTGTGAGGAGTGAAGTGATATTCTATACCATATGCTAATGTTACCTAATATCTATTTCATTGGGGCTTGGCAATTTAACACTTGATCTGTGATCAATTCATCTGCTAATGTGTCAATTTACCCTGAATGGAATATTTTAATGAAGAAAAGGGTTGGGCCTATCTGATTGTACATATATTGACCAAGACACCAGAATATAATCTAGTTCAGAACAGAACTTCCAATTGAGAGCAAAGGCAACACTCTTTCCTTCTGGGAGCTGAGATTTTGGATTATTGCTTATTTCCTTATTCTTCAGAGATTTCTTATTTAGATTTCTTTAAACTCCTATTACTTCCTTCCTTTTGGCGCAAGATGGCATCTGGAACTGCTACTGGTTCAGTGTAAGTTATCTCTTTAATTATTCAATGTCTATGACTATTACTATCTTGGTGTTATTAATGTTAGTAGTAGCTCTGCTAGAACTAGTAATAATAGGTGTATAAGTATTGACATATTGCTATTTATTGTGCAAAATGTCTTTGAAATCACTTGGCAACCAATATTTTATTTGTTTGTAAATCCTGCTGTATATGTTTTATTAAGTAATAACTTCATTACATTAACTTATTGTGCATTTATTGTCTTACAGAAAACAAAAGAAGGATCCCTCTTGTCTGCAGATTTTGCTTGAACAACCAGGACAACATCTCTCGACACCTCAGCAGAGTGTGCATGAAGCTAAAACCAAAACAAGAGATTATTCAAGAAATTGCCGCTGCCCGAGATTCCATGATAGAGCATCTTTGGCAAGGCAGGATCTTTGACAACAGCTCACTCAGCTGTATCGTTACACAACAAGATGCATTCCGACTCCTGATCCAGAAGCTTGAACAAACTGGTCACATTGTTAAGAACAAGCCAGAAGTCAAACAATCACCTGGGTAAGATGTTTTTTACACTGATAAAATAATATATATGCAAGTTACATAATATTTTAACTCATTTTAACTGTTGTCCAATCATGTTTGATTGTAATATAATATAAATGTTTTTGTTTATCTGTATGATATTTCAGCCAAGTGGAAGTGGCTCTTGTGTTGGCACCAACTGAAGATGCAGATGTAGATGCAGAATCAGACATCAAAATGGAGGATGACCAGTCTGCCTTGTACCAACCGTAAGTAAATACAAATATAAATAATCTCTTTATCAAGTACTACACATAAATGTATAAGTGAACATGGATGTATTTTATTGATTCATATCTGCATACCAAATGTTTTCCAGACCAATGACCCGGTCATGGAACAAGAAACTGAGAAAGGCGATGCAAAGCAGTGGTTTATACCAAAAGCACCCTCTGGATTGTGATCTGCTGGCTGGATTTGGCAAATATCTCCGTGACGACCACAACTTTCCCAATTTCAAACAGGAGGTATGTACAGCAATTTTACTTAATTTAACTATTGAAATAATTAAAATAAGAATTACTACATTCTAAAGTAGTTATTAACTATGTAACTAACATTATTTCATTTTGATGTACAGGTTGCAAATGTGTCAAGGTTTTTGTTGTGCATAGACTCCACCAAACCGTCACTGGATTTTGTCCATGACTTGGAAAAAATCAGGTTATTTTTTACCAAGCTTGCAAACATTGGACAGAATAAGCAAACCACTGCAAACTACATGAAGAATCTGAAGAGGTTTCTTCGCTACAACACCACTGCAACAAACCTCATCCAGACAGACAGGGGCTTATATGAGCAATGCAAGCATTTCCAAGAGTGCCTGAATGACATCCAGAAGTCCATGAGCAAGCAAGTGTCTCACGATATTACTGGGAAAAGGTATATATTTAAAATTGATCTTCACAGAAATGTATGTTACATTTTAAGTGTGTATTATTGACGTTCTGCATATCATTAATGTATTATTGTTTTTCTGCAGGTACACACAGATGGTGACAGTCGCGAAGACACCAAAAATAATGTTTGGCAATCTTGGAGGTGGCTAAGAAAGACTTTCTGGGTGTCATTAGGAAGGCCATGAGTGAAGAATCCTTGGACGAAAATGAACAACTGCTCATTCTGTACTACCTGGAGTCTCTGCTCATGCTGAAACATCTCCAAAGGGCTGGAGTTGTAAAAAATATGACCGTAAGTTAACTAATGTCATACATTTGCTATAATGTTGAATCGTATTTTCTTTTTTGGCATATGTTTTATTGATATGTCACATTTCCTATTGTAGCTGAACGAATGGCTCTCAAGGGAGTCGTGCAAGTTGCCAAATGGTGAGAAATGGACTGTCATCGGTGTTAAGCAACACAAGACAGGGACACAGCAAGTGGCAACCGTTTCGTTAGACGAGGAGGAAGACGCAGTAAGTATGTTTACCACAATCTAGTTATTGTGAATGTGATTGATTTAATACCATCCTGGTAAATATGTATTTTTTGTCTACATTTTCAGTGGTTGGATATGTACTACCGACACGTTCAACCTGCTTGTCTTCAAAACTTTGATGACGTGGAAGAAGATGAGAGATTCTTCATTTCCACAACTGGAAGAGCCATCTACAACCCTTCCAATGACCTACAAAGGTTTCATGCCAAGTAAGTACAACACTGTTAAGTAGAACACAGTTTTTTATCATTACACAATACTTTTTTGACAGTACAGGTTTCTAAAATCAAAACTGTTTTTTCTTGTTCTTTCATCAGATACCAACTCCCAACGTCACGAGCCAGGTAGCAAGACACATTTTTGAGACAAATATCAAAGCCAGCTTCACAGACGCAGAGAAGGCACTTGTTGCTGACTACTTGGCCCATACAACTGCTACAGCTGACAGGCACTAGTGCATGAAGACACCAGGCAATGCCTGCATGGTATTGAAGCTGATCTCCAAAGTTGCCATGTCCAGTGAATCTGAGTAAGTATTTACACTAATTATATAAATGACCCTTTACAATGTCTTGTAAATGTTGTTACATATGGCTAACACATTTTTCTTATTTTCCTTTTTTCAAGTAGCGAGACTGCAGGCCCTTCCTGTGCAAGCACAAGTTATGGAACAGGAGCATTGTCCAGCAGCCAAAAGTTGGATGAGGCACAGGCCAAAAGTTGGATGAGGCATGGAGAAACCACTCACAGTTGAAGTCGGAAGTTTACATACACCTTAGCCAAATATATTAACTCAGTTTTTCACAATTCCTGACATTTAATCCTAGTACAAATTTCCATTCTCAGGTCAGTTAGGATCACCACTTTATTTTAAGAATGTGAAATGTCAGAATAATAGTAGAGAGAATGATTTATTTCATCTTTTAGTTCTTTCATCACATTCCCAGTGGGTCAGAAGTTTACATACACTCAATTAGTATTTGGTAGCATTGCCTTTAAATTGTTTAACTTGGGTCAAACGTTTCGGGTAGCATTCCACAAGCTTCCCACAATAAGTTGTTTCATCAGAGCAGAGGACATTTCTCCAAAAAGTACGATCTTTGTCCCCATGTGCAGTTGCAAGCCGTAGTCGGTTTTGGAGCAGTGGCTTCTTCCTTGCTGAGCAGCCTTTCAGGTTATATCGATATAGGACTCGTTTTACTGTGGATATAGATACTTTTGTACCTGTTTCCTCCAGCATCTTCACAAGGTCTTTTGCTGTTGTTCTGGGATTGATTTGTACTTTTCGCAACAAAGTACGTTCATCTCTAGGAGAGAGAACGCGTCTCCTTCTTGAGCGATATGACGGCTGTGTGGTCCCATGGTGTTTATACCTCTGTACTTTTGTTTGTACAGATGAACGTGGTACCTTCAGGCATTTGGAAATTGCTCCCAAGGATGAACCAGACATGTGGAGGTCTACAATTTGATTTTCCCATGATGTCAAGCAAAGAGGCACTGAGTTTGAAGGTAGGCCTTGAAATACATCCACAGGTACACCTCCGATTGACTCAAATGATGTCAATTAGCCTATCAGAAGCTTCTAAAGCCATGACATCATTTTCTGGAATTTTCCAAATTGTTTAAAGTCACAGTCAACTTAGTGTATGTAAACTTCTGACCCACTGGAATTGTGATACAGTGAATTATAAGTGAAATAATCCGTCTGTAAACAATTGTTGGAAAAATTACTTGTGTCATGCACAAAGTATATGTCCTAACCGACTTGCCAAAACTATAGTTTGTTAACAAGAAATTTGTGGAGTGGTTGAAAAACTAGTTTGAATGATTCCAGCCTAAGTCTGTGTAAACTTCCGACTTCAACTGTAGTTCTATGTTCATAGATTCAGTCAGACAGGTTTCTGCAAAGCTTATAAAATTGCAGCTTTTCATGTCTAGAATGAAGCTCATCCATCTTATTCTCGTGTGACTGGACATTTGCCAATAAAACAGAGGGGAGTGCCGGCGATTTTATTTGAATCTCAGTCTCACCAAGACCCCAGCCCTCTGCCGTCCTGCGGCGTATTCTTAGCCCAGGAAACAAAGGAATAGGGTCCGGTGTGAACAAGGGTACAGCTGAGTCAGAGTTGAATTCGAAATCGCGGTTTGTACCTGTCGATCTAATGTCCCGAATATTATCACAGGTGTCAAATCAAATCAAATTGTATTTGTCACATGCGCCGAATACAACATGTGTAGACCTTACAGTGAAATGCCTACAAGCCCTTAACCAACAATGCAGTTTTAAGAAAAATAAGTGTTAAGAAAGTATTTACTAAAGTAAAACTGAAGTAAAAAATAGATAAGAAAAAAAATGAAAAATAAGAAAAATTGAAAAATAACTCAAGAGCAGCAGTAAAATAGCAGTAGCGAGGCTATATACAGTGGGGGTGTACAAGCACAATGCAAATAGTCCGGGTAGCCATTTGATTAGCTGTTCAGGAGTCTTATGGCTTGGGGGTAGAAGCTGTTAAGAAGCCTTTTGGACCTAGACTTGTTAATAATGGTTGATGAAATTATATTGATGGAATATTGAATTATGATGTATGGATTTGACAGCAAATCATTAAATGTTTTGATTATAGATAAGAGTGTAAACCTACTGTACTTCTGTAGTCCACTCAGATACATTAAGTCACATATTTCTGCAGTCCTGTGTAGCTCAGTTGGTAGAGCATGGTGTTTGCAATGCCAGGGTTGTGGGTTCGATTCCCACGGGGGGGCAGTATAATAAAAAAAATCAATGCAGTCGAGCTGGATAAGAGTGTCTGCTAAATGACGTTTTTATTTTTTTAATGGAACTTCAGTATTCACAATAAAGTTTAAGATAGTAGTGAATGATATGGGCGGCAGGTAGCTTAGTGGGTAAGAGCGTTGGGCCAGTAACCGAAAGGTCGCTGGTTCTAATCCCCGAGCCGACTAGGTGAAAAATCTGTCGATGTGCCCTTGAGCAAGGCCCGTAACCCTAATTGCTCTTGTAAGTCGCTCTGGATAAGAGCGTCTGCTAAATGACCAATTATTATTATATGTTCTTGATATCCTCAGACTCTAGATCGGAGTCCAGTCGATGTAAGAGTCCACAGCACCACCATATGGTCACGTCAGGTCAGTGCAAGTCAGTCTATGGCAGTTTTGTCCTTATCAAGCAAAAGCTAAAGATGAAACTGAAATGATTGACAATAGAGAAAGTTGTATACTCTATATTACTCTCTAGGGAGAAGATAGCTCTTCTTACAAGAAGAGAGGGCATCTTATTGGACATCTATGTAACACAACTATTTCACATTTGAAGATAGCAGTTTGTTAAGTTTGATCATTTCATGTACTTCTGCATTGTTATTTTTTTCATTTTCACATATTTTGACAAAATAAGCCCTTAAGGAGCAAATGCATCTTCTTTAAAGAAGAAGGCTCAGGCTGCCTACTTAAGTCATGGAAGTCGGCCACCGGGATAGCGCCACAGGGTGATCGAACGGGTTACCAGGTGTAGATGGGGAAGATAGAACGACCCTAACCCTTCCAACGACCTACAAAGGTTTCATGCCAAGTAAGTACAACACCGTTAAGTAGAACATTGTTTTATTATTACACAATTCTTTTTGACAGTACATTTTTCAAAAATCAAAACAGTTTTTTCTTGTAAGCAAGACACATTTTTGAGACAAATACCGAAGCCAGCTTCAGAGTTGCAGAGAAGGCACTTGTTGCTGACTACTTGGCCAATACAACTGCTACAGCTGACAGGCACTACAGCATGAAGACACCAGTCAATGCCTTCATGGTATTGAAGCTGATCTCCAAAGTTGCCATGTCCAGTGAATCTGAGTAAGTATTTACACTAATTGTATAAATGACCCTTTACAATGTCTTGTAAATGTTGTTACATATGGCTTACACATTTTTGTTATGTTCCTTTTTTCAAGTAGTGAGACTGCGCAAGCACAAGTTATGGAACAGGAGCATTGTCCAGCAGCCAAAAGTTGGATCAGGCACAGGCCTTGAACCTCTTCTATCAACACTTCCCTGTCACAGTTGATGGACAATCAATCAAGAAGAAGGACAGACTACTGATTGCAGGAAAGCATGAGAGATTCTGTTATGACAAGTGGAGAAGCCAGCAAGGGAAAATGAGACGGGATTATGTGATCGGTGAGATGCAGCTAAAATACAGTAAACTGAATACAATTTTATCATATTAGGTATTACGAGAATGTACTTTATTTAGTCACACAACTATGACTGTATGTAGTCCTGGATAAGGGCTTCTGCTATTGAATAAATTAAATTAAAAATAACACATGTATTTTTGTCTTTGCATTGTTACAGCTCACATTCCCAGAAGAGAACCCACTGCCAGAAAAGTAGAGATATACATTGAACGGCAGAACTGGGAGAAGAACAAAGTGAAGGTGGAGGATGTCCTTCGTTACTGGCGACCTTCAAGCAACGCTGACACAACAAGATACAACAAGGCAATTATGAAGCTGGTGAAGTCCCAGAAGTGGAAAGGACTGTACATTGCCAGTGACCCTGTCAAAGGAAGAAAAGTCATGACGACACGGACATTTGCTAAAGGGGAAGTCGCCTGTGACTGTCACTGTCTCCCACTCTCAGAGAAGCAATGGAAAACACTTTTGGCAGCAACAGATGAAGACGAGATGGGGTACCTATACTTCTACAAGGATGCATCAGGGAAAACGTGCTGCATAGATGCAAAGACTGTGCCCTGCCCTTGCCACCCAGAGATGGACACATTTGGACGGAGGATCAACCACTCCAGAAAGAGAAGAAACATAAAGGGTCAGCTTCAGCAATTTGAAGAGGATGGCAAAGTGTGGAACGTCATCCTTTTCATTGCTCAACGAGACATTCCGGTGCAGGAATAACTGTCATTTGACTATGGGGTGCAAAGAAAAAAAATTGGTGGAGAAGGAGAAGATTTGGAATGACTTGACAGCTACGTCAGTCAGCTTGAAATCACCAATAACTGAGGGGACTCAAAACTATCCTTAAACCCCCTTTTAAAATGTAAATCTGAAATTTTAGTAATATATATATTAGGGCTGTCAAATGATTAAAATTTTTAATCAAATTAATCCGAATTTTCAGTGGATTAATCATGATTAATCACTATTTGCAATTACACCTGAATCCTAACCATTTTTTTTCTGAAATGCATACCAAAAGATAAATAACAGGACACAGATACATAATTTTCATATTATGTCTGTTTATTAACACAGCCAAATAATGGTGTTTTAAATCAAGCTGAAACATACTACACACCATAATATTTGTCTTTGTAATGTTCCATCACTTCCTCTTTGGCATTCCTCTTAACCAGGATGTACAATTTACAGTATTCAATTGAACAGAAAGCAATAAATGTAGTCAAATCATAACAGTGACCTACCACATTTTTGCACAATTTGAGTCATCTGTGGAAAAAAACATTTTCAATAAAACTTTTAAATCAAACCAAAGAACAATCTTTTACCTTTTCCTCCATTCTTTAATCCAGTTGCTCAAAAATCCAGTTGCTAACTACTATAACATGTTGCACTGAAACTGGTCTTTTTGTTTGAACATCACCTTTCAAATCTACTGAGCTTCATCATCTTTCAGCCAGTTGCTGAGGCAAACTAACTTGTTCACATTTTCTGAAAGTAAAGCTGACCATTTCTTGTTCACAATGTGACCTGCAACTGAGAAAAGTCATTCACAGGGAACAGTGGTTGCAGGAGTGGCTAGATATTTGTGAGCTAGTGAGGCCAGCTTCTCATGGGCTCCTGAATGAGATGCCCACCACCTCAAGGGGCAGTCCTCCAATTTAATGGTGGGCTCTGCTCTGTACCTCTGTATGGCAGGTTGGACCTCTTCATCTTCTGATTCTGAATCTGAGCCCATTTGCAGAAGGCTGATTTTCTTCCTGGGTGGCCCATCATCATGTGTCTGTGAAGACCTTCTGGGTGATTCTTGTTGCAGCATCCCTTCAAGTGTGGTCCACACCTCTTCCCTGTCTGTCTTGGGTAGGCATTTCAAGTCTTTGAAACGAGGATCCAAAACTGTAGCAATCTGGAGCCATGCATTGTTGAGCTGTTCTTGACGGGATGCTAGGTCCTCCTTGAACTTGGTCTTGAATCTCACCACATATGCAGGGTCCTCATCACAGGCTTCCATCTTGAGACGCAAGTGGCAGAGAGAAGGTAGTACCACAGAACAGGAGACATAGGCCTCTCCACCCAGGAGCTCAGTTACATACCTACGCACACAAACACACACATGCACACAGAGACAGTGTATTATTAGAACAGTGGTTATCAACATATTATTATTATTATTATTATTATTATTATTATTATTATTATTATTATTATTATTATTATTATCATCATCATCATTTTTTACATAGATACATGTTATTGATATTTGACTTGGTTTAATTCATTCCAGAAAATAATCAAAGCGATGTTATTTGATAAGTTACAGACTGATTTACCTGCATGGCTCTAGAAGTGTCTCCAGCCTCTGCAGTTTATCCCACTCTGCTGCGGTCGGCAAAACGAGTTTGTGCTCCTGATTGTCCAGGGCTGCGATGACAGCCTCTTTATTTCTGCTCACGCGCTTGACCATTTCCAGCGTCGAATTCCAACGTGTTGGAACATCCTGGATCAATGGCTCTTGCTTCTTTCCCAGGCTGACTTGTTGTGCTTGAAGCTCCGCAGCATTTGCTGGGCTGTGCTTAAAATGACCGACAACTTTGCGAGCCTTGGCCAAAGCATTTACAAAGCCGCTGTCAGCAAGACTCACTGTGACACTTCTCTGCACCATGTGAGCGACACAGTTCATGTGTTCATAGCGTGTAAGTCGAATTGCGGCAACCATGTTGCGTGCACTGTCAGTCCCAATGGTTGTAGTCTTGCCCTCGATGTCCCACTCACGTGCAACAGACAGGAACTGTTCTTTACAATTCTCCGCAAAATGACGCTCCTCAGTTTTTAATATAGTCAGCGCAAAAGACTTCAGTTCCCACGTGTCACTGATTAAATGTGCAGTTACTCCGAGGTAATTGTTGTTACTCACTGATGTCCAATGGTCTCCTGTCAGGGCGATATGATTTACTTGAGCCAAGACCTCTTTCCTTTTTTCTTTTTCGTTTTCATAGAGCTCGTGGATTTTCTTCATAACTGTGGCTCTTGACGGTGGCTTATAGAATGAGTCTTGAGACGCCACTTGCAAAACATCAAGGAAACCTGAGTCTTCTACAATGCTAATGGGTCTACAATCCTTTGCAATCCATTTTGCTATTGTGTTGGTCAAATTATCTGAGGTTGATTTTGTTAATTGCCTGCAAACATTCAGCGTGGTCTGGCGCAAACCACTTGCTGAATCTGACGGCCCAGCAAACGCATGTTTGGCGTTGACATGGTACTTCAAGCTTGAACAGCTCCGGTGAAATTGAAACTCCTTCTTACAAATCTTGCAAATAACCTTGTACTTGTTAACTGTACCATCATCATTCTTTTTATATTTGAATCCGTCAATAGGCCCACTTTGCTCACCTTGCTCCATCTCGCCTCTAGCTCCCAACAACTTTCCTGACCTGAATAATTTGTCACACTGCGCATGCGTGAAATGCGTTAAAAAAATTGACGTAATTAACAGCAAACAACGAATTAACGTCGTTAACGCGCTATTTTTGACAGCCCTAATATATATATATTCCTGTGGTTTAATTGTGTTTCTAACCTCAACGGTTCTGCTGCTCTCACCCAGAAGCACCTCAAATGTAGGTCAGGCTTTATTTTGGGCCTTTTCCTAAGACCTTTCTGGATGTCAATATCTTGCCCAAAACAGCTGCTCTTCACATGTGTTGCTCTTTATATGCCCCCGAAGCATAATCTGGAAATATATTAAATTTAGACTGCTGCACATACCACTTCCTACCTAAACCTAACGAGGTTTGATTCAGGAGCTAGGTTGGGAGACGCGACTCCCATTCATTCCCTATGAAAACTGAATGTTGAAAGGCTGGGAAGATTTTCTCCACAAAATATCCTCCCAGCCTTTCAAATTTTTAAAAATGAGAGTAACGGTGCCCTCGGTTGCCCCGGCCGCTTTGGTGACTCTAGATAATCTCGAGCCGGTGTAGGCCTAGAGGCCTGGAGGTCTGTTGTTCCAGGGAGTAAGTTGTACTCTCACGCCCAGGTAGAGTTGTGTTGACCGGGCAGGGAGTGTAGGCCTAGAGGCCTGGAGGCCTGTAGTTCCATGGAGTAAGCTCAGGCCCAGGGTGAGGGGTGTTGACCGGGAAGGGTTCAGACTTGGTATCCCCGTGTTCGTCTGGTCCTCCCGGACACGTAGGTACCAGAACCGTCATTGTGCAAGGTTTGGATTGGAGCTAGGGTGGGAGACGCGACTCCCATTCATTCCCTATGAAAACGGAATGTTTAATGGCTGGGAAGATCTTCTCCACAGAAGATCCTCCCAGCATGTGTGTAATTACAGTGGAACTGTTCAACTCAAGTAGCTATAAAACCTCAAAACTATCTGGTTTTGCTTTACATTCAAATGAGCTGTAAATTACATTTGGCCTGGGGTCGTTTAAAATTGACAGAAAGCTCTAATATTTTCCCAAATGGTCTCAAATTATAGGTCTCATCACTCTGGACCAGAGCGTGAGTGTAATTTCAGTGGAACTGTCCAACTCAAGGAGCTATGCAACCTCAAAACTACCTGGTTGTGCTGTACATTCAAATCTGCTGTATATTACATATGGCCTTGGGTCGTTTAAATTGACAGAAAGCTCTACTGGGCTGATGGAGAACCAGTCCTGACCGGCGAGAAAGAGAGAGAGGGCGAAAGGGAGAGAGATAGTTTATCCCTACAGTACTCAACTTCACTTTGTGCTTTTTGGCTGTTTGTCAAGATAATGTGCCTATACTGTATTTTTCTCTTTGTCGCTTTAGTAACTCTCTCTCTCTCTCTCTCTCTCTCTCTCTCTCTCTCTCTCTCTCTCTCTCTCTCTCTCTCTCTCTCTCTCTCTTTCTCTCTCGATTGTGCTCTCTATTACTCACACACCCAAGCACACTCACACACAGTTGTTTATAACTATCTTTCACATTGTCTGCAGTTGAATTACTAAAAAAATGTATCACATTGATTTCTGGTGCCTTGCAGATTTCACCAGCAAATCACTGCAGATGTTATTTTTAATGCACTGTTAAGGACATCAGTGCAACCAACCAAGAGCCCTCGTTTTTAGTGGATTAATCTTGGTTAACTCAGAACCAAAGTCTTGCGTAATTGTTCTGGTTTCATACGTGTTAAGAGAAGGGATCAAGAGATGCTAGAACAAAGAGTGAAACCGGAACGAGGAGCTCCACCCTCTGTCTTTGCAAGTTACGGGGCGAATTTCCCCTCCCCTTCAGAAATTAGATTGATGCTAACACCTGCGAAATCGTAGTTTGTCCAAATAACCAGTGGCGAAAAACCCAAACACCGGAACTACTACTACTCACTCTCCCGAGTGGCGCAGTGGTCTAAGGCGCTGCATTGCAGTGCTAGCTGTGCCACTAGAGATCCTGGTTCGAATCCAGGCTCTGTCGTAGCCGGCCACGACCGGGAGACCCATGGGGCGGCGCACAATTTGCCCAGCGTCGTCCAGGGTAGGGGAGGGAATGGCCGGCAGGGATGTAGCTCAGTTGGTAGAGCATGGCGTTTGCAACGCCAGGGTTGTGGGTTCGATTCCCACGGGTGGCCAGTATAAAAAATTAAATGTAAGTCGCTCTGGATAAGAGCGTCTGCTAAATGACGTAAATGTAAAAAATGCTTGTTATCCCACACATCCCATTCCTTCCTGACAGATTATACGGTACCAGTTATGTTC